AATTAATAATCGATTAACTTATTATCATAATCACATTGGGGGAAACCTCTAATTAATTTTACATCTTAATTTATTTATATTCCAAATTTTCAACACGTGTCGACGAAAGCATCGAACCGTGACGCAGTACCCAACCATACATTGTCATATATCAAATGCATCACGCTGGTATTTCATCTACTCGCTTATATCTACGTTATGTCCGCGATGGCTATTTGTTTCGAGTACCCGCCAACGCAGTTTCGCGAGCATTATTAAAATGGGCTATCATATAATTTGCATGGCGACAATAGCGTAAGGCGACGCCCTGAAAAGGAGCCGCGCGATAAACGGTAATAACGGCAGTTCTTGATATGAAGGGAAAGAGAAAGTCGAGGATATCTCCTTGGGTTCGAGGATGTATGGATGAGATAGATAGTGAGAAAAATACGAAGAAAAAAAGGAAAGACGAGAAAAATGCAGGAATGCGAGAGATAAAAAAGCAATGGAAGACATTATTATTTGACCATCCTGCTCTTTATCATCGTGTACGCAATGTATGTCCGTCGACATGTATTTTCACTCTTTGAGCACGTACGCGACATTTCCAATCTTTGAACGCAAAACATGTGGAATTTACATGTAAAAAAATCGCCTTTTTAGCATAATTATTAAAATGATTATCAAAAATACACTAACTGACTTTGTCTGATAGCGAAAAATATGTAATGTCGATAGCGAAAAGTAAGATTATAGTATCAAAAAAATTAAATACCTGCAAGTTAAACAAACTTATCATTATTTAACGAGCTTAAATAATATAAATATTCTATTGTATATATATTTTTGAATATAAATTTCGGAGCTATTCAAGCCTGGTTGTGGTTCGCTTACGCCAATTCTTATATTATAAACTTTTTTCACAAATACAAACGTTTTAACCTTTAATAAGGTCCTCCTCAGTGAAATAATTTAAATTACAGTTACATACAATATGATAACCTATATCCTCCCATTCGAAGTACAATAAAATCGTTTTTCACAACATGTAGACCTTTAAGTGATCTGCTGTATGATATCCTGTGTAATTATATTATTCTTTATCCACCAATGTATACCAATCGGATGTAGATTCGTTGTATAAATAAATCTAATCAACAGAGAAACTCATGGCTCCTAATTTCTTCCGTTAAAAGATTTATCCAACAACTTAAAAATGTATAATCTCTCACATTGTCGACTCAATATGTAATGAATACATAATTTATGGAGGAGGATCTTATTAAAGGTTGAAACGCGCGTTTGTATTTGTGAAAGAAGTTTGTAATATAAGAAGTGGTGTAAGCGAACTAGCCAGGCTCGAATAGCTCCGAAATTTATATTCAAATTTAATTTATATTTAATTGAGCCAATAAATATAGGAATTTAATATTATATTTATTTTTCTATCATATTCTAGAATAATTTAAGAATAAAATTAAGTTCGAAAAAAGTACGAAGTTTTTTATTTTCAAATGGTAAAGAGCTTGCAATTCTTTCAATGAAATATTTATATAGGGAGATTGTCCTCGTAAAATATATAGTGTAAGAATGGCAACCTGAATCCACTCGCATCTCGAGGAGGAACAAACAGTGCAGTTGTATTCGTGGCAAATTGGATATTTCTTCGTAGACACGTTGTGACGAGAAACAGATCGTATCTGTATACATCGATCCTTCGTAGGTCTTACTATGTAAACAGATGCAACAATCGACCCCACAAATTGCGTATCGCAGTAATATTATATACATTTTTTTAAAGAAATGACAGGTTTAGGTCGATTATAGCAGCGGCAGGGAAATCGAATATACTTATTACCGAAATCATCAGTGTGCAAATGAAATTGAATATATCATTATGGTCATCAGTATGCAAATGAAAGATAAGGCTCAATCCATAGATTATTAATACAAATCGCTTATCTTGTAATAAACGATTAATTCGACGATTAATTCGATTTCTAATGAAAATATTCATTGTGTATTATATAATTATACTTAAAGATTCATTGCGAATTGAAATGTATAATGTGCTCAGCTTGGCTCAATAGGTTGACATAAGTTTTATTTTCGATGCAAATACTTGCGTCAGTATCGGATGTAGGAATCAAACGACTCGAGCTTTATATCGAAAATTGATGACACGAACGTGACTAACGACTAGTGACGCGATATTTTCTCTAGCCTGTTTTCATTTCCTCCGTTTTTTTCCTTTCTTTCGTACTCGTCAACTCGTCTCTTCCGTTTGTCTAATGACTTGCCTAATTTTACCGCCATTTTCTTTTACTACACGGAGAGAATTTTCTTTTAAAATTTACCCTGAAAATATGGTGATTGTGGTACAATACAACATTTTAAAGATTTTTACCATGCACTTCAGTAAAATTGATCAAACTTATTTTATACTTTATTGTAGTTTTATTAATATGAATGAGAGAGATTTATATTAAAATTCTTCGAAATACACAATGTTGTCCCACGATTGTCATATTTTCAGGGTAAATTCTAAGAAAAAATTCTCTCTGTGTACATAATGTATTGCTAAATGATTCGGAATAATTTCGAACGGGTTAGCGCGTGACGCATTCGTTACCTTCAATGATCGATATGCTTCGGATTCCTCAATGCAATACGCTGAAATAAGTTACACAGACGTAAATCGGATATTTTGCGTGGTCGATCATGACCTACGATGCGAGATAATTTACGTTAGCTGATCAAAGAGAAACACTACGTGGCCTGCATTTCGGATGGTTTGCATTTCTCGTATCTTGTTTCTAAAGCGGCTCCTAAAACTAATATCACTTAGAGAAGGTAATGATTGAAATTCGAAATTACGGTTTAGTCAGTCCCATAGTTGAAAGTGCGAACCTCCACGTTTGCTGCTCATCACCGTAGTTGATTTTGGATTGTATTTCGTGAAACAGATTTAGATCGTTTAACTCTTCATCACATTTGGAAATTATTTGGAGAGCAAATCCTAAATAACAATTAATTTAAGAACATTTAATTACTAAAAATTTAAAGAAAAATACGTAGTATATTTTTTATTTTATTAAATCCCTACTTTTGATATTTTATTTTTACGCATCTATTTTTGCACTTGATTCTTACATATCTTTTCTTATTTCGCTAATTTGATTTGTGTGTGTGTGTGTGTGTGTGTGTATGTGAGAGAGAGAGAGAGAGAGAGAGAGAGAGAGAGAGAGAGAGAGAGAGAGAGAGAGAGAGAGAGAGAGTTTTTTTATTAAAAATATTTATTAATTCTGAAAGCATTTATTTAGAGGAAAAGGTGTACATATAGTACCTCGTTTATATAGGAAATATTTAATAGATAATATTTAATCTTTACACGGAGAGAATTTTTTAGAATTTACCCAAGAACATATGACAGACGTGGGACAACATTGTATTTCGAAGAATTTTAATGTAAAGCTCTCTCATTCATTAATAAAACTACAATAAAGTATAAAATAAGTTTTACTGAAGTGCATGGTAAAAGTCTTTTAAATATTATATTGTACCACAACTACTATATTTTCAGGATAAAAGAAAATTCTCTCCGTGTAATAGTAATATTTAATCTTTAACAATCGATATTTAAAACTTAAGGATTACGTTCGTGAAGTGTTGTTCAATCAATTTTAGATTCAAAATTATGAAACATTTATTATTTAGGACATTATTTCTAAAAATATGACAACACTGCATAATGACTCGAAGAGGAACGGAGTGGTAATGTGGCTTTCCACAAATATAGATTTAAAAAATTGGTTTTGTTAAAAAAAAATAGTATTTTTACAAAATTATGAAAAAAGTAAAATATTGCAGAACATATGCAAATCTATATACATACACATAACTTCTTCCACATATTATAGGCTGCTCAGTACTAAAAATCTATAGTATTTATGTTATATACATATAACATAAACTATAGATTAACAGTACCTAGAGCTACAATCAATTTATGGAATAATTATTTTGACATGAAAATCTCGAAAAGGAGGCCACCAGCAATCAATACGCTTAGGGAGAGCCACATTAGCAAAATGGTATGCTATTTAACTTTATAACTGCGTAACTCCATATATATATACACCCAAATAAAATGTTAAATGATAAACAACACAATAAATTCAAATATATTCGTGTAATAATATATACGTTCAAGTTTAAGAAGAATGAGGAAGTAGTCCTCAAAGAATGTTATTAAATACTGAAACGTATCTTAAAAACATTTCAGAATGCTTGAAAGTAAAAATGCGTAATAATAAATGCTGACAGAGGCGGCGATCTGTATGTGGAATGGTGGAGGACTCCACACATGAGAATTTGATATATGTGGAATTTCCAGACATATCGAGCTACAGCTAACCTTTAATTTTTAACGAGTAAAGGCATATTTTTACGAGCCGCTCAAAATCCGCCGTTTCTGCTAGTCGAGCTTATGAATGAATTTCTAAATACAAATAACATTCGACGAACTACATTCGCAATAAAGAAATAAAAAATAGCAAAATAAGTATTCGTATACTTTATTCATTTTTTGTTTGTTATTGTATATTATAAGTGTAGATCTCTTCGTTTGAACTTTTTTTTCAGACGTCTTCACACGCATCCCCCAGAACTCGGACTCATTTCACACATGCAAAAAATTTACTCCGCCGCCCCTGAATGCTGACTATATATATTGTGTATTGACATATTAGCGTCATGGTGTAACGGCGAGCAACTGAACCAATAATTCCATAAATAATAAGTAATAACTACAGAACACTTCACCTAATAAAGGAGATATTAATGATATATATACTAGCCGTAATATCATCTCTTTTACTAAAAAAAAATATTTAAAAAGTATTACGTCAGAGCTTTTGGAAGTAATGATAAATAATTATCGTTATTATCATTTTATACGTTGCAATATTTTTTTTTGTAAGCGAAAGGGTACCGAGTATAAAGATACATTTTTCGTTCAGTGCGCATAATATCGCGTGCGAAAAAGAATCGATCATATCCTCGTACAACTTACGTGCCCCATCGATGCTTTCCCAGCGAATTGCCAGGTAATCTATCAAGGAGCGACTCCTCACGCGAAAGTTTTCAGGGCCAAGCACCTGTGGAATACACCCATACCTAGAAATCCCAACGACAACCTCGTCGTTGGTACTTCGCGGCGAGATACGAATTCGCCACAGATCGTGGGTGGTCGCCGTTATCTCCGGGGACGGAAGAGGAGAAAACGTTGTGACCGAGGTACACGGGTACGTTTGATTGGACGAGAATGCTTTGGCGGCGAATCGGCGGCGGGGTGGGAACCACCGTCCCGGGGGTGGGGACGTGCATACGGTGCGAGGGGGTAAGAGAGTCGCAAAGTCACGGGCTTATATAAACGCGCGGCGAACCGTTCGCCTTCACAGAGTATCAACCGTCGCTGGACGACACACCACCATCCCCATAAAGATTCTCCGGCAGGCTCGCTTTTGTCAGCTACCTGGCCTTCATCAGTGACAAGGTACACATCGTATCCATTTTTCCCTTTTACGCGTGGTAATCTCGTCATTTTAAGAAACGTCTCGCAAGTGTTATCGATAGTTTTCGTCGTATACAGATTTTTAGAAAAAATTACAGCTTTTTGCAATGTAAAACCGTTAAAGTATTAATAATCTCTAAACTGTAAACGATCTTCGAATTGTGCACCAAATGATGAATGCAAGTTAAGTAACTTCTGAAAGTAATGTCTCTTTTTAAAAAGAGATGTAAAATATAATTCGCGTATTGGATCGACGAGAATAAATCAATTAAGAGAACTAAATAAATAATTTTGATCAAAGCTTAGTGTTCAAATATTTCAAAGTAAATTTGTATTCAATTATGTAAATCGCGCGCCGAAATTTTTTTCAGTCTTAAAATGTAATCATAAATAAAACTAGAGCGGTAATAAGACATATTATAAATTAACAAGCAATTTTTAATCATTTTGGTACTAATAAGAATTTTAGAAGGATATTAATTATTTGATTTGCTACTCTAAGTATTTTAAGAACTGAAAATGATTCAATTTATTATGAAATAAATAATAAAGAATAATTTAATTTATTACGAAAAATATTATCTCAGCCAGGATTCGAATCCGAATAAAATATGATGTCTTCAATTTATTTTTATTAATAAAATAGAGATAAAATGGAGAGAAAATCTCATCGTTGTCTCAAGTTTGTTTTAAAGACTTCTTAGAAAGATATCTAAAGTTAGTTTTGTCGCAACAACGCAATGGTAGCAAAAGCAATCTTTCAAATCGGATGACAAATTGCACGCATAACCCTTACAGTTACAGGAGTAACTTCGCGCTTGTATGATTATCCAGTAGTAAATTCTAGCACTATGTTTCTCAGTAGTAAGACCCCGCATTGCCACAGACAGTAGTAAGACTCCATGTTACGATGAACAGTAATAACTTCCCGCAGTTTGTCAGTAGAAGTTATTGCGGATATTTGGAGAACCCCCTCGTATAATTCTCGTATATTCTCTAACATAAACAGGATAATTCACGATTATAGTTTTGAAATTGGAACTAAATCGACTTTATTCGTGTGGAGAAAGGAATTGATTGAAACAAATTTTCTGAAAAATTCAGGACTTGGATAAAATTTTATAGAAAATTACGTTTAACTGTAATAACTTTCCATACAGTTTGTCAACTCGTAGAAGTTACTGTGGATATTTAGAGAACCTCTCGTATATCTCTAGTACGAACAAGATAATTCTATAACTATATTACTACTATAATTTTGAAATTGGAACTAAAACTTTATTCATGTGGTGAAAAAAATTGATTAAAACAAATTTTCTAAAAGAATTCAGGACTTAAATAAAATTTTATAGAAATTTATAGAACGGAATATTTTACAAATAATTAAATATTAAACATAAACACGTATTTAAAACATTCGGTTTCATTATTTAGTCTTCGAGGGATTATTACGTTTGCTTTATTATAGATAATAAATTTTTTATTATGACAAATAAAAAGATTACTTGGAAATGGGAAAAAAGAATCTACTGATTGCTGCTTTTGACACTTGAAAATAAGAGTATATTCTGGATAATATTTAACAATGAATAAGAGGCAAAACAAATAATTTCATCGCGAAGAAATTATTTAGGTCGATAAACATCGCAGAATGATTTGCACGGAACTTCACAAACTCGACTGCGTAAATTCTTCCGAAGTTTGACGAACTACGTTTGTTTAAAAGCCTCAAGGTGCTTGTCAAAAAGGTGAAAGTAATAAAAACACAAGGTGCGGGAGAAGACTTCATTTTAATCAAATTGAATATCGTATCAAATCCATTCATCCAAAAAGCTTGTACTGATTATGATACAATTAAATAATGAAAATTTATTGTTTGTTTTTAAAAATTAAATGGACTTTCTCTTCCCCCGTCGGAGAGATAATACGGAACTTTATCGTTAAGAAATTTTATTATCATTTAATGCAAAATATGAGAGAATTTATATGACTTTATAAGTTATAAGATCTTCCTCGAAATTTTTTAAAGGAAAAAGCGATTTCAAATTCATGAGAAAAATTTTTGCCGCGAAATTGATACAGGATATACTGAAGCATCTTGTGTTAATGCATAATTTTCGATCTAGATGGAATTTCATCACAAAATGCTCATTATCAACGTTTATTCTATGCTCGAACACGATCGTGGTCGAGAGGGCACATGACGTATGTATAGCTTGTAACAGCAAAAGGATTAATTGTTGACAGATAAAGCACCTAATGAGGCACATGCACCGCAATAACCAATCGTGATTCCGCAATGCTATTGCCAGCAAGCGAAGAAAAAGTCCGATGCGTATTTCGATACAAAACACAAAACCGCATCGAACGCATTATGATAATTTGCAATCGATTAATATCTAATTACAGCCCCCGGACATTATCACGAACGGGCGTGGAATTATACGCACGGTGAGATTACCCTGCAATACGTATCCTCGTAATTTCCTCAATTGCACGATTGATTAATAGGCCAATTAATCAATCGTTTGAATTGCACGTAATTACTTAAAAATTAGCATCACTGGAAAGTTTCTTAATAAGCAGTTTACCAAATAATTCAGAAAGCTACTTGAAAAACAAAGTAATTTATAAATTTGTCAAATATAAGAAAGAATTCCATATTTGGTGCGGAGATTTTAATAAGATTTAATTTTAATAATATACAGTTTTAATAATATTCAAATAATATATATAGTTTTGAGATACTTATTAGTATCATTAAATACTTATTAGCATCTCATTAAATTTAATATGTGATTATTATTATTTTGACTTTAGTTTATGATTGCGTTTTAAATTCGACAAATCAAATTGGTTTATAGTACAATTTATAGAAATGAAAAATGTATTTAAAAAAGTTGAGTATTATTAAGCATCAAGATCCGCTTCAACTGAATATAGGATTTTTTTCTCTTAAATTATATTAACTTATTGATCCATTTTTTATTTGATTCACATAGTATTACATTTGTTATCCAATTTTACAAAAGCAAAACGAATTCACGACACAACAACGCATATTTTTATACAAGCGGTAAAAGCCTGTTGGCACGCAACTTCATGTGTTTTCGTCCAAAACTTTTACAAGTTTGTAGTAACACGAAAAGCACTTAAGGTTCCTTCCGCAAATTGGAAAGCCAGTTTCATTAGCGTGAAGATGAAAGAAAGAAAGGAAGAAAAATTGTGAAATTAGGCGTTCTAAAAGCTTCGATGCGAATCATTTAATTGTTAACCGATAACAAATTTCACACTTTAATTCATATTAAATATTCTGTGTGTTATTTTATATTTTTAATTTAATTAACACATTTCTATAATCTTTTATTTGTTGGAAAATATCTAAATTTTTCATGAAATTTTCTATAGCTACTATATTCAAAAAAATGTGTTAATGACACTTTTAGATCTGAAATGAATCATAAACAATGACTAAAATGTTATTATTTTTAAATATGATGATTTCTGAACTTTATAATACTTGTATTATTTAAATCCATTAATTTCTAATTAAATTGAACAAATAATTCTCTTGAAAACATATTGAGAGAATGAAATATATGGTTTATATTAATTTATAATATTATTAAAAAATTACAATTTTTTTTTAACATTTCCTATTATCCTAAATCGAGACGTGTTTTATGGCTTGATTAAATTTAAAAAAAGGAAAGGTGATAATTGAAAGAAATGTGCTGAGCATCGGAAAGTCGAAGTTTGAAAAGGCTGAATTTTGTTGCGGTAGCTTATAATAGCTTTATAATAATTGATCAAATATTTACGCACAATGGTTTGCGTGCGGCAATGTAAGTAAATATTTTACGATTGACTTTAGATAGAGACTTTACACAGTAAAAAAGAAAATGTTAATTTTAACATTTTTTACATGTCCCAGGAGATCCACTCTAAATTTTAAGTTAAAGTAACTCATTCGTCTTGTGTTATTTATTAATGAACTAGTAATGTTAAATAATTGACACAATACTTTACATTTATATTTGTTATTTTGACTTTAAGGGTGATTTAAAACTAACATATAAAATAAGTATAGAGTACATAGAAGAGTAGTTGCAGTAACTCGTAAGAAAATGTTAATAGAACATTTTTGTTCGTATAATGTGAATGAAAAAATTCTTAGATGTTAAATTGACTTTGAAATATATAGATTAATTGAAACAATTGTGTTAAAAACACTTAAAATAATATTCCATTTTTAATTGACATACGCAATTGTTAAGTTAGAAAGGTGACATGAATTTAACGCATCAAAATGTTACAAAAATAATAACATATCAGTTTATTTTACATTGAAGTAATAATCAAAATGTGGTAACACAAGAAAAATTCTACATATGGACGCACGATTTTTTACTGTGTAAAAGTAACAGACATTTAAAAGAGATTTCAGTTATGATTATAATACGCGTAATGAATTATAAGAGATGAAAGTATTTTTACAGAGAGAGATAATAAAAGTGTCCGCGTATTTACAAAACGATTAACGACAATGGTGAGTGGCGCGTTCGGAGTACGGCGCCACGCCGCATTGGCAGGAAATCGTTGGATTGGCTCCAGAATTAGCGGTAAAAAACTAATGTTGTCTGAGCGCACTTTTTCTATCATTTAACTAACAAGCGGGAAATGCAAGAGATAGTCGCAATTAATTACTTTCTACGAATAAAATCATTCGGAATGTATCTCTTAATAAAAATTCTTTCTTACGATTCTAATAATTTGCAGCTTCGATAATAATGCTGTTTTAATAATTACGACTCTGATTTAAAGAGTGAAAGAGAAAGAGATAGAAAGAGCTTTGAAATAAAATAAAATTATACGAATAAAATGTCTATCTGACATTATTAAAAAATTATCGCTCGAGGAAACTTATTAAAAATATAAATTATAGAATATTTTAACTGTGGGAAATTTTGTAAAATAAAAAG